TTGCCTCATGTACTTTAATCATTTACCAAACACATTTGTTATAAAGCAATAACGCTCAAGGTTTAAACCTCATTCATCTCCAAAAAAAAATCATGTTTTGGACCAACTTGATGTTAAAACTTAAGCTGAATGAAATGCTAAAATACTACTCGAATCAAAAGCCCCTGTCTGTCGCTGGTTAATTAATACTTTTTGTTCATCGTTTTTGTTGATTTTTCGTTTGTCTTGTTGCGTTACTGACTAATGTTTTTGTTCGAGCAATAGTTCCAGTTTGAATTGCTTTGTTGTTAAATGTTGCCGTTGATCTTCCGTTCTTTGTTTTGTTCATACCAAAAATCTACAGTAGAATTGCAAACACTCAAAATCATATTTTGGTTAATAAATGTAATGAATCGATGTTTTGATTGCGAACAGTGAGTCCAAAGATACGTTCTAGAACAGGTTTGTTATTGTTGAAAATTTTTGTTACTGTTATTGCTGTTGTTTTAAAGGTTTTTGTTCATTTACTCTTAGTTCGAACACTCACATCAGTATCTAAAATTATATCCGCTCAATAATAATAACACTATTAGTTGCATCATCTTTGTTATTGCTTATGGAAAATTTAATTCGCTTGTTTTGGTTAACTTTAACAGACTGCCAAATTTTCACCTAAATTATAAAGGACTTTTCGTTTGAATTGTTTCAGGTTCGGCTGCCATTAACCTTTGCGTTAAGTTTTGTTTGGAAAAATTGTTTATTGTTGATTTTCCGTTACGCTTTCTCATTGTTGCCTACGTGTTACTCTGGCAAAAGACATTTTACAATACTATCAAAAGTTTACAATCTATATAGTATTTCAAACTGAGTTCGAAACTTCATTTATCAAGTTTTAATGGCTTTGCCAGGGTGCACTTTTGTTACGTTTTCTATCATCGTTCTATTATGCATCGTTTTGACTCACAAGGCGCTCAAAAATTAATTGAGTTTGATGCTAAATAATTAATAATTTAAAATCGAAAATTTCCTCCCAGTTTTTTCACCAGAGTGTTTGCAATTTCTGAATTAGCTTTAATGCGTTTTAAGTTTAAACGTTCCAATTTTAGGTTTTGTTAGACGTTTTGTGTTTACTTAATCCTTCCATAGCGGATACCAATAAGACGAATGACAATAAGTTATGTTTAGTTTGTTTTGTTTTATTTTGAAATTGTTAGCCACGTTCATTTTGTTTTCACTTTGTTTCTCTTCTGTTACGTTTAGCGTTCTGTTAAGTTTCAAATTTCAGTTTCAACGTTCGGCCAGTCTCGCTAATCAAACAACTATAATTTGCCTTATCTAATGCAAAAAAATGTTTAGTAGTTTTTGATACAGCAAGTTTTATTTATTTTTTCTTGGTTCATTTATTTTTTTTACATTTTTTATTTCTATTAATGTTGCACGATTTGTAGTTATTTTTTATTTGTTTTCCACTTCAGAACTGATATCCATTAGGATCAATTTCAGTCTTTTCAAATTCTTCTGAAAAATTAATTAATTGAAAACAATTTACTTCCTTTGGACAGATATTTTTTGAACATCCATTCCCTTCAATTACAACCAAATTGTAAAATGCATATACGAATTCCAAAAGTAATGATGTTTCTCTATATTTTAAAACGTAGTTTTCGAGTATCGACAAAAATTATTTTTCTTTTACTTTCATATGTGGAGATTGCCAATTTCACTTTGTAAAAATTTTTCCAAATAAAAACTTGTTTACGAAAAAAATTGTGAAAAAAAAGTGATTTTAAAAACGCTTATCATAACATTTGATTCATAAATTGCCCATAAATTACAATCGCCACACTTAATGCTTTCGCTTCTCGCCTTCATAATAATGGCTTATCCTGTTTTAACCTTTATTTTATTTTTTTAGTATCTTTTCTAGAGTTTACGTTTTATGAACTATGAAAATTGTGTTCTGGTGGATTGTTAATATTTTTCCTGTTAATATGCATGTTTGAAAGTTTCTTCATTTTTAGTTTTTCTCTTATCTCTTTATTGTGCATGTTTTATTATTTCTTTATAATATCGAACAATTTCCTGGATAAATCGGTATGTTCGTTTACTTTCTACAATTTCATATTGCATGTTCAGTATTTAAAAGATTTTATTGATTATCGGAAATACTGCTTTACTTTTTCCTGTCTTGAATTGTTCTAATTTTTTATAGCAGACTGATCGAACATTAAAAAAAATGTGTTAAGTTTTTGTTTTGTTTCTTCTTTTGCGATACCGGGGATTTTATTTCCTTTAAACAAAATGCAAAAAAATCTTACTTCTAAAGCTGCTAAAGCACCAAATATCTGGATGTTTTCACTCATATCAATTAAAATTGTTCAATTGAAACGTGTTTTCAGTCGGTACGATATAAATTTGGTCTGTTGAATTGTTATTTATTGTTATTTTGTTGTTGAATTTACGTTTTTGTTTGGCGTATTAAAAATGCAGAATATTTGTTTTTCTTAAGTTTCGTTTGATTTGATTTCATTTTAAGTTTAGTATGATTTCAGGTTTTATTTGGATTTAGTTATTATGTTTCGCGTTTGTTTTTTTTATTCAGTTGTTTTATGTTTAATTGTAAATTGCATATTTTCCCATATTGGAAAATATGTAGTTTATGACCCATTTCATTTAATTTTGTGTGTTTTTCATAAAAGAATATCTATTTAAAAAAAAACAAAAAAAAATAATTTGTCTACCAAAGCCTCTATGAAGATGTATAACACTAAAATAATTAAAAACAAAAACATCGTTAGTTTAAGTTTTTTGTGTTTGGTATAAGTGTGCCTTATAAGTTATATCAAGTTTTCTTACTTATCTATGTGTTTTTTTTGTAATTATAATTAATTAATTTAGTTTTATAGAGCATTTCGAATTGTTTAGAAGCCCGCTATTTGTGACACAAAAATCACAGTCTTTTTGTACCGCATTTAGCTTTAATCTCCCAACAATTCGGAAATTCGTATAATTTTAAGTGTGTGTTTGTTAGTTTTAAGTTACAAAGCCTACAATAGATACACCATCAATTATTGCAGAGCAATTGAAAGTACAAAAATCCAATTAAAATTGAAATCATGGCTCCAAATTTGCTTGTACGGTAAAGAAAGTCGCATGCATGTTGCGCGTCTTTTATTCTGCAATTTTGTCATTTTCTATGTTTATCCACGTTTTCTTAGTGTCTAGTATAGATATATTATTGTATCGTTTTTAGATCATTAAACGAATTAAATATTATTGAGCTGTTTCAATTGTTTACCTTATATAACGGGATTTATTGAATTTTGGTTTTTAATCAGATTTTTGTGTTTTTTTGAAATCAGTGAATGTCGCATATTACTCAAAGTGTCGGGTGCAAGCATTGAGTTTACATTTACTGCCTCAAAAAAAAAACTATTTGCTTATAAATTCAATATCCGGACCATATAAATAACGCCAAGCAGGAAAATAATATATTTCATGTATGGAAAGTATTAGGATCATTTTATATGGTGCCGTGCAAAATGTGCAAAAATACGATTTTACAAGGAAAACTCGAATTTGAAAGTCGCACAATCGTTTGTCGAACTGTCAAAAATAACTGAGCTGCAGGGCCTTTAACTTACTAGTTTAAATTGTGTTTAAATGGTTAAATTATTGTGAAAATTCAAGGTGCCTTTTTCCTTCCAATGTTCCTTGTAAAACGCAATCTTTTAGATATAAAAATCTCTTTGCGTCAAGTATAATTAGTTTAACTTATTAGACCCTATAAATAGCACTTGGGTCCAAAAAAGTATATGGTAAAATGTTTCAAATACGTAAACGTGATTTTACTCGTATATAAGATCAAGCAGATTTTAGTGAAATTTTTGGTAAATCAGTTACACATTTTGTATGCTTTTACATGCTCTTTCATTCGTGGTTCTTTACGTAAGACAAAATGTGATTCCAGCTCTTTGATACACCGGAGAAAATGCAACTTTTCCCATTAATCATAGGAAACATTTGTTGAAAATATTAGAAATTTGAAAATAATAGTAAACTAAAGCATAAAATGCAAGTTTACAAAAATATGGACGAAAAACACGTCAAGTAACAGATCAAATTTTGATCCAATCCAAATTAAATTTGTTGACGTATTATTTCGGAACACCCTGTATGAAGACCGTTATTTCAATGCAGGATTTATCAAGGTGCTGCCATCTCTTCTGCATCTCCTATACGCGCACACTGTGAGCTTAAAGTGGGCTTTTGATCCAACCACCTAAAGCAATCCTGTCATCCACAGAGGACGGAAAACGACGTACTTTGCAGGAAAATAATGTTTGGATAATACTGTAATAAACCTAGATAATTTCAAATAGTTTTCTATTGTTTAAGTAAGCGAGTTTTAATAATAGGTGACGTAATAATGAATTTAGTAGAATTTAAGCAGGAAATGCAATTAAAATAGGCCACAACAAAGTTACCTTCAGGTTTGTGAAACTAAACTTTTAATAGACGATGACGAATTTTTAATTAGTTGCCTGTACATAGAACGTACGGAAAGTGTTAACGACTAAAGTAGCTGAAAGCCAAAAAGTCACAAAAATTTAGTGCTATCTATGTATAATACATTCACTTTTTCGCAGGACGCAAAACTTAATTACAAATCCTAATCAATGGATTGCAGTGATTTAGCATAAATCTCACAATAAAGGACGGTTATTATGCAACAGTATGTGTGGGAATAGATGAAACAAAAACGAAGCGATAATTTGAAGCAAATAACAAAAGCGTACGCTCACAAACAGCAGGAAAACTGTGGAAACATACGAAGTTACTCAGCCGCCTTACAGCTAACCTATTGATTTTAATTCTCAAATACCGACTCAAAAAGCTCAATGCGAAGATTCGCCGCAGGTTTACATTTGCATTATCTCAATTTTCTCGGCTCACATGTCTATTTCCATCTCTAAATGAAACTTGAAAGCCAATAAAATTTTCGCCAGTTGTAAACTTGTTTCCATCTGTTCGGGTTCTGTCTTGATTCGTTTAGTTAGTGATTGTTTGCGTATATAAAGACGCGAGAGTATTAGTTCGGTCCGATTCAAATTGAGGTGTTGTTACTTGTTTTATGTCTTATTTGAATGAAACGAAGAAGATTGACATATGCGGAGTATCAGAAAGCGATTTTGATCTTTTAATCAATATAAGAAATTCATTGGTATCGGAAATCCAGGGTGTTAAGGTAAGAATTTTCAAAATCAGAGAATGTGCCGAGTTTTCAATGTTTTTGGCGGCAAAATGGAGTGAAAATAAAATCAGTCGACGACGTATTTTCATATCTCCGTGTTAGTCGACATGCATTAAAACACACAAGAAAATGGAATAATTAAAAAAAGAACCAATTTTAATTTAAAAAAATGTCTTAGGCACCTCACATACCAGACTTTTTAAAGTGGTAAAAGTCAGTAAATGTTTCAGAATCGTGGATTTGGAATTATGAAATTGAAGATTTTCTCAGCAGGTGTTCTTCCTGAGGAGTTGCCTTGAAGCTGAGTGAATGATTTGAATGGAGTAGTAAAAATGAGCTGTAAGATGCAAAATTTTCATCTTACATCTCAAACACGTTGAGGCCCAGAACATAAAATTCCGTCGCTTTTTAATTACATGTTTAATAATCAAAGTTTTTCATGTCCAGATTAGAAGTTCAGAAGTAACATTAAAATATAAAAAAGTATTATATAAGTCAAATTTATCGCAAAGACTTGCTTCTTTATCTGTACCTATTTTTCGTTAAAAACAAAATTTTATTCACATAATTTTCTTCTGTTTGACTAAACGAGTTTTGTGCAACAATGATCAAATTTAAATGAATCAATTTTCCTGCAGTCCGGGAAAACAGCTGTTCGGTTCCTATCGATTTTCCCGCCTGTTATCATGGCCTCTCTACCCCTAACCAAATAAGGAAGACTAGACATTCGCGATGTAACTTACCGTAAACGCAGCAAAAAATCGGTGGAAGTTCCTAAATAATGTCAGTGATTATAATATGTGAAAATCCGGATATTAATGCTACAAATATGCGTGCTAAACTATGCTAATGTGGCTGTTCAGTATTTAGTGTAAGTAAACGTTTACATTTTTTACAAACTTCTTTTTGGGTATTTCGCCTCAAAAATTTTTGTCTTTAAAAAAGACAGAATTTCCTCACGTCTTTTAAACGTTTAATACTTTCAACTCCTTTGTTAAAGTTTGTTGTGCTTCGTATGTTGTAATATTACAGCAAAATATACAAAATGTTAGAACTATGAATTCAGTTAATAAGTATATGTGTCTAAAATATGTCCTTAATTTGTTTAATGCTTTGTTCCTACATTTAATCACATTTTATAATTTTGCGTGTTCTAATATGAGCTCTATAAAAGACACGCAAACATTTTTACGTGCTCTTAAACAATAAACAATTAAATTCCCATGTCAAAGAAAATCTAGTCATGTTCAAATTTAACACGTTCTCGTGCTTTATATTCATTTTTTCTCTACGTACCAGTTTTCAAAACTTAATTTATCGTCCATTGGAATTGAAAACTTTCGTTATATAATAAAGTTATATTTCTTCTTTTCCATATCTTCATATATTTATTATTTGGTGATTTTTGGAAACTAACTTGGCATTATATTAAAGAGGAAATCATGACCAGTTATTATCAAATCAACGAAAACTGTTTCATTTGCAAAATATCAGCTGTAACCTCCGATAGCAATCGACAAAAAGTTTTTTTTGTATATAAAATATCAATCCTTAAATTTAAAATCTTTGAGGTAAAAAAACATGTTTTTACTAAATACCACTAATAAATAATTCTGCTAAGCTTAATTTATTGTGATATTTTCCAAAATTTCCACACAAAAACGATTGCTAAAAATTGAGAAATTACTTCAATTTATGCATCTATTCGATAAGCTGCTTCTCCAATTGATCAGCAGTTCACTGGGCCTCGGAAGTGTACTTGACTGTTTGCCAGACTGAAGTGTACTTCAATAACTCAATTTATAAGAAGTTTCTAATAATAACACGTTCAAAGCTGATCCACAATCCATCTGCTAATAATACGAATGTTATCATCTATTATGAATGAGTTAATTCGACTCACCGTTATTCTAGATTATTTAAAAGCTCATTTTTCAAATTTCAGTTTTCTAAATTTACTGAATGATGTCAAGTTCTACTCAGAACTAAGTAAAACATATAGAATATGAGTCTACATTTAAAAAAAGGAGTTTATTTTTCGAAACGGTAGATTGAAGCGAGGAAACTACAATAGGTAAGCTGCTTGAAGCTGAGTCCCTGAATCTTAATTATATTAGAAAGTCGAATAACTAATGGGTCAGCAAATTTGATCGATTTCTGCATCATCACTTATAAAGTTTCCGCATTAGAAAGAAAGTTTCCTGCTTTGCGTGACCATGATGAGTGAGGGATTAGTGAACTTTTGTAATTCAATTATAAAAATGAGAACAAAGCTATTGGAAATTTAAAAACATACGTAATAGAAAATTAAATTAATGTATACTGAAAAGCATTAAAAAACAAGTTGAAGATTAGTGATGCGTGATGCTCTACATACATATATTTTTTTGTTAAATTTCTCAAATGTTTATTCAGTTTGCGCTACTTTGTCTGATCTTCAAATTGTTTTTCAATTCAAAATTAGTTATTAGACGTTTTCCGAAAATTTTCGAAAAAAAAAAAATATAGATGAACCATTTGAATCAATAACACTATCTACGAAAATGCTAAGAAAAAAGACAACGACAGCCTCAAAATAAGTATTGCTTTTAGATTGTTAAAAAATATCTGAGTTACAAATTAATTCTTATATCATTTTTGACCTCAGTTAACTTAAAGTAAATAACCCTAAATATCGAAAACTTGAAGAATGATACGCAGCTCAATTCGTTATTAAAAAGTTAAGTTATTAAACTTTTGTATGATAGCTTTTTAAAATTTTACCCCATACTCTCACGTGTTTTCTCAATTTGTTCCGTTGTTTTTTCAGTTCCAACTTGCTTCTCGAAGAAAATTACTCTATTATTAAATGATTTTGCCAAATCTTAAACACCCACTAGTAGGAACATTGAGAAAATTATGAATATTTCTCAGTCATGGGTAAATGGGGAAAAGCTACTACTTGAATCGAAATTAAATAATTCAAGACTTTAGCAACGATCCATATTTAAAAAATGCGATAGAAGAGTCAGTCAATCCTAAAATTTTGAGTTGTTTAAAATAAAATATTTTTTACTGTTTTTCCACTGAAACAACATACACTTTTGAAGGAATATCCTATACCAAGCCCAAAAACGTCTCATTACTTTCCGCAGGGGTTGGGAAATATCAGGATGTGCCCCAGTTTTATCTTTAGTCCTTTGACATTTCGCTAGAGGATATATACATATAGATATAGCTAGGCAATGGGATATTAAACAGGATAGTCGAGGGAGGCCTTTGCTTTGGAACGTTTTCATTAAAAGGCTCGTAAATATTGAAGCACACTTTTATTCGACATGTGATGAGACAAGGGCGTAGATGAAGATCAGAAAAATCGTCTGTTACTGATGATGTATATGTATTGTCTTTCACTGAATTTGTGTACGTATTTTTCAGCATTAGTCTTCCAGTGAAACAATTACAAAACAAAAAAAAATAAAATAAAATCTCAATAACTGGTTAAATTAACATCACATCAACTAATATATTAAACTTTAAGATTTTTTGCTAAATGTGGACAACCCTCTTAACTAGTTGTAAAAATACTTGTCCCGTGTAAAACTCGCAATGTACAACCAAAAAACGCCAATAATTCTTAATTTATCCGGTACGTTAAGGAAAATTTCGAGCGTTGAAACCCAAAATGCATTGTTTAAGCCGCATGAATTTCAAGCGAAAGACATAATCTAAGTCAAACATTCCAGTTTATTAGGCCAACAGTGCCGACGAGGCATACAATCATGTTTAATAGGCTAATTTAAAAAACCAAGAAATTGTTTACCTACATATGTTTGTAAAATAAACACATCTCAAGGAACAGACTCTCGCTTACATTGGTTTTAGTCGCTCAAAACTTAAGGAGCGATCACCACAATTCGCGCGACTGTGCGGAAAGAAAAGTGCCCGACAAATTGGGGAAAAGTGGTTTTTGTGAATGCTTTTTTAATGCTAAAAATGGACATTTTTATTGAGATTGTGGATAATTCAGCCCAGTAGCCAAAACCAAAAAAATCTGCACACGAAAGTAAGTGCGCTTCTTGCAAATTCTTCCTGCTGCTGTTAATGCAAAATAATATTGTTGTTTCATTATGTTAATATCATAATGTATAATTGTTAAATGAATATTCACTCAAAATGCCTGTAAATTCAAATAATTATTATAAAATGAGACTAGACTAGACACTTTAACGATCTGTTTCCTAAATTGTACCATAATAGAACGAGGAATAAATGTTAGGTCTGCATCGAATAATTTACAATATGAAAATTTCGCATGAGTAAATTTATACAAATTTATTAATTTTTTTTAGGTTATGAAGTAATCGATAAATTGTCCAGCATAATAATCAAGAAAATTGTTTCGTCCAAAAATTTTTCAGGTTACGATCATGCTTTAAACTTTTCATTAGCGTAAATTCATTAGCATTTCATAACGTTAAATAATTTAATAAAAAATGTATTAAAGTAAACTTTCTTCCAAATTTCTTAAATGTGTGTTCGCCCTGTTAAAGCTTGAGACTGTAACGATTAGAAAAAGAGCATTGCTTTCAATTTTTAAGAAAAACTCTACTTCAGATTTCTTACTACAAATCCATTCCCAATGAGGTTAATTTGGTAAATTGTTTAAAAGTGGTTTCCAACGTAAATTGCAAGAAGACATGTTAAATTTTGTAGATAATCTACGTATCACCACATCTAATAATCACCGGCTGTTGCTAAAAACACATTTAAATTTTCAAGCATGTGAAACCCAGCAAACTTGATTAGATCACGATAAATTAATTTTGTGCAAACAAAATGCGAGAAACTCTTTCACAACATTGCACTTTACTAGTTTTATGTGTTGATGCACATGTCTGACAATTATATATTTTTCTTTTAAATTATCGAAATAGACAGTGACTAGACCACAAGCTATTTGTCTGCGAAACAACAGATCTTAATTTATATTGGCATACATTTATAAAGCATTAGCATTTTAAAGACACGTTAGGTAATTTATGCTAAATCGTTCTCTCTAAAGGACATCGCATGAATTAAATCCATACGAAGAAAAAACATATTAAGGCTGAATTGCGCATATCATTAAAATTCAGATTTCCGTGCTGAATTGTTGAGGTTTCGTGGAACTAATTGAAAAACACCGATGAGAGTAGAAAGAAAACTACTGATGCAATGATTTTAGCAATTCAGCCAATGACCTTTTATTCGTCTTCCCATTGTAAGATAACAAACACTTGTAACCACTGACATTTGATCGGCCAAGCTACAATTACCAAAGTAATTTATCATACTTTAAAACATTTGAGATGCTGCATCTGCAGAAGCTGAGAAGCAGTTCACCGATTTTTAATTTTGTAACATTTGGTAATTTAAATGGTGGACTTTATATTTTGCATAAATTAATTTAAGCAAAATAACACCCAGTCAGAATTTCCATTTGGTTGTTTTTCTTAATTCAGAATATAGAAGACATATTTCCGCTTCAAGATTGATTTTTTAAATATGTTTATGCCGAGTTATCGAATAGTCAGTCGAACGTCAGATTAAGAATTAAAAATTATGTAAAAAATAAACTAAAACTCGCTAGAAAATTTCCAAAAATAAATAACATTCCATAAACTTTTGTAGTGCGGATTTACTGACCGCATTAAATTTGAATTTTTTTAATTTAAATTCTTGCACAAAGAACCAGTCTCGAATTTGGCTCCATTTTCAAATCCGGAGAAGCCAGTGTTCTGAATGAAACCATCTGAAATCACCAAAATTTGTACAGCTCATTTTTCAAAACCTATTCCTGAAAATCTAATCTAGATAATTTATTCCGATGGATTAGTAGTATTGGACCGAACTGTTGAATGGCCTCCCAAATGTCCGGATTTAGAACCCATTTCTTATCTCGGTACTTGAAAAGCAAATTTTTTTCGGCAAGAAATCGAAAAGTATGGAAATAAACACAATTGGACTGTAGGACAATTTCCTTCGAAGCAATTAGAAATTAGAAAGAATTGTCTTTTCAGAGTATTGTCAGTCAGTTAATGAACAATCTTTGGGCATTTATTGAAGAAACATTATTATTGTACTTGTATTATGAGATGAATATAAGATTTATTAATTTTTCAGATTAGTTCATGTTTCTTAAATATAAATAAAGAATATTAAGAATAGTCATAAAAAATTAGAATTGTCATTTAAAAAATTAGTTAATGTCGTAATATCTCAAATTTGAAACTCTATATACTGAAATTGTATAAAAATGTCTTACATCCAAACGAGCGAAACTTAACATAGTAATCGATCTGTAGTAGAAAATTTTCAAGTAAAATACGTATTTTTGATTTAGCGATTTTAATCCCCGTTAGACTCAAACTGTCTAAAAATTGGATGACCATTGTTTTATGCAAAAACCTCCGTACACAACTCTAACATAACTGAACATCGGATAAAACACTAATTAAAATTCCATATCGATTTACACAATTTCGGATAAAATATTCCAGATATTAATCTGTTTGTTCATTAAAGCAAACAACAAATACAAAATCGCCAATGCTGGGTTTACAACCGTAATCAAATAGCAAATTTGCTTAAATATTTAGCACATGTTTTAACGATTCTTTAGATGACTTATTTAATACGTAGTTTCTAAGGTGAGCTACAGATTTAATGGCGTGAAACTCTAAAAAATGGATTCCATCCATATATTAACATTTCAGTAAATTGGATTTTATCTTTTAATAAAGAAATAAATGAGTACGTTATTTGAATAAATTAGATAAAATATCTTGATAAAATAAAGCACAGTATTTTTCTTTTGGATGCAACTTCAAAATATACTGGATGGTTGATGAAGAATTGAAGAATGTAATTTTTCACGTAAATATTTTAAGGCTTAACCAAATATCCCAACAGCAGTTCTTGATTTGTTTTTAGTAGAACCAAAAAAATCACTCTGGTCAGATAATTAAATTATTTTAAGAATACAATTTTTGAAACATAAACTTGCCACTGATATTTGCAACATTTTCATTTGATAGAACGTAAACTCGTTTCTTTTCTACCTAAGAAGTGCTATGTTTGTATAAAAAAAATAAAAATTCGAATACTTAGTGCAAAATAAATATTAAAATCTACATATTTTGTGATCTTAGTGAGCAATTAATATATGCTTTTTTCATACTGGGATAGTTTTGTGATAATTTTAACTAACTCTCATTGACTTTGATACATTGAACAAAGAACTGTAATGTGCATCAATAAAACATTTTCTTTTTGTTGCGACACGATACATACATTATGTAAACAAAAAAAAA